ACATACAAAACAGGCAAATCAAATAGGTTGAACCTCTCGTTTTCAATTCTCTTCGAGTAAATTGAATGACAAAACTATTAAAGACAGTACTGGTTATAATAATCACAGCTAATATGCTATGAATGAGCCATAAAGGAACACAAGTTATGCCTTTTTCATAGATGTTACGATCAGCAATCATTTCTGCAGCTGCACCTCCACGAATGTATAGATTTACTGTGTACCAGTGCCGGTAAATGTGTCTCTTACGTTCGTACCACAATTTATACCTTTTACATGGAAGTTATTAGGATGAGTGCTCATTTCTGCAGCTGCACCTCCACGCATCTATATGCGTCTATTGTTCTAGCATAACAAATAAAAAGTCATTTTACCTTTACAAAACAAATCCAATTTCGCCCTACTTCGGCTTCGTCGTTATTCACTTCTCTGTTTCCAAAGCCTTTTCAAATGGATTCCTCGGCAATTGAAAAAAAATTCATATATATGTCATGTTTCGTTATTTGATGATGTAACAGATGTCAGATATGTGGTCCGTCTTTAACACTGGTTCAACGGTAAATAGAACGATTATTTCGCAAGATGAAAACAGAAATTATTTTAATAAATTCCCCTATTAATAATCAGCCACTTTTCCTTAAAAGCTTCAATCCAACTTTCTTGCAAATGCAAATATTGAGACAAGAGATTAAACAGAGATCGACAGAAAAAGGTATAACACCCAAGCAAACTTTATTCTAACTTAGCCGTGGCTAAGTGGATTTTATTGACAATTTTTCCCTGAGCAAATGTGAGTATTACGCTTTCAGTTTTGTCATTTCTCGATCTATACTCATTGAATTCATTTTCTTTAAGCTGGGCTTTCTTTTAAAAGTTTTTCACGTGAAATATTTCTCCTACTGAGAGTTTTTGATGGACGGCGTTTCTCACAGGCAAACGGCACACCTGTTTGGTCGAAGGTTTTGTTCCCGGCTTCAAATGTATTGAGTGTAAACGATAATGGATGTAGTAGAGTGGTAGTAGTTTGTAGTCAATTTAGTCAAGCTTTTGAATTCAATAATCTAGGGAACAAAGTAGGACATTATAAAAGAATTTGCAGGCTTGCATTTTCAGTGCTTTATATACTGAAACAAAGACATGCTTTGAAAAAATATCTACAAATGGCTCCAGCTGATCTGAGAAAATGTGTTAGCCAATCAGAATCGAGAAAAATTGCAAAACTGAGGTGTCACTTTTCTTTTTCAAATCCGGATTTCCGGGTCACCAAATGGAAAAAATAACATTGCTAAAACGCGCTTTATAACCGTGACACAATAATTCATGAGTTTTACATTTTTATTCCAGTGGAGAGCTTGTTTATATTTTTCGCTGTTCAATTTTCGCAGGCTTTATTACAGCTGCAGTGACTTCATTTCTACGCGGTCACTATTTCAGATCTGGATGACCACGTATAGTTGCGGTCTTGTCTCATCCAGACACATTAGCATAGAGTACCACAAGTTTAACAGTTCCGACTGTCATATGTCACCTTCTCTAAATAAAGATGATTTATTTTTCGTGCTATGACTGCAAAAATGTCGTTATTTATGTTATGTCATTTCGGGTGGTGATAGTGTTGATTCAGTTCGTGCAGTTGAACTGTTTTGGATTGACTAATGACTAACGGTTTGCTATTAATGCGTTTGATCTTCTTAAAGATCAAATAGCCCCAACAAAGAGATTCGCCCAGAAAGACTGAAATGTCAGTGACAAAACTCTTTGTAGTTGAAATCATTTAAGCTTTTAAAGACAGTGCTTGTACTACATTAATGCATGAATATGATTAACGCATTTACAGCAGGACATTAATTCATGACCAAGACCGTGCTTGATGACTACATGATTTTGAAGCTTTTAATGATCGCGTATTCCTTAAACCTTTTGCATCATGGTCACACCATTAAATCCTGACTAAAACTAAAGATACCCTTTGTACATGTATAAGAAAAGATAACTAGCTAAAAACTAGTGTGAGCTGCGTCGGTTTTTCTARTGAAACAGTAATGATAAAAGGTTAAATTATACACCGTGAAAAGATGAAAAAACTTACTGACGTTTCGGACGCTAGTCCTTCGTCGGAGTAAAAGAGGACGAAGGACTAGCGTTCGAAGTTTTTTCATCGTTTCACGGTGTATAATTTACCCTTTTATCATTCCTTGTACATGTATACTTGATTTTGACACTTCACAGGAGCATTCATCAAACCCTTTTTCCACGCCATCCTATTTTCAAGTCCAGACCAAAATATAAGACAGCGGTTTTAGACGAGGCATGAGTTTGAAAATTGATGAAATTACTGCCATTTGAGTGGATTAAAGAGCAATTGTTGAAGTAATATTTCAAAGTCGACAATGACGACTGGACGGGATTTCAAGTCCAAGCAATTAGTTCCAGTTGCGTGGACTTGAAATCCTGTCCAGTCCGATATTGGAGGCTTTGAAATGTTTTCTCATGCTCATTATTATTCGACTTCGAGTAACTGGAACAAAATTAATTCAGTCCTAGGACTGAATTAAGTTTGTTCCAGTTACTACAGACTGAATTCAGTCCTTTCACAAGACTTTACCAGATTTCAAGTAACATCATGTGACACAAAAATAGCCCATTGATTGGCTGGTTTACTCATGAATTATTTATGAGTATGAGAAACAGGTTCCTCAGTCTAAAGAAGGTATGGCGCAATGCAACTCAAAACCAACTTTAATCCAATCATTGCATTCCAACGAATATCATTTTATATCATTTTTGTAGAAAATTATGATTGAAAGAAAAATAAATAAAGTTTAAATTAACTGAAACTGTAATAAAATCCAAGAAGATATAACTAGCTAAAAACTAGTGTGAGCTGCGTCGGTGTTTCTAATGAAACAGTAATGATAAAAGGGTAAATTATATACCGTGAAAAGATGAAAAAACTTACTGACGTTTCGGACGATAGTCCTTCGTCGGAGCAAAAGTAACTAGCGTCCGAAACGCCAGTAAGTTTTTTTCATCTTTTCACGGTGTATAATTTACCCTTTTATCATTACTGTAATAAAATCACATAAGAAAAAAAGATAAGAAAAGGAGGGATGAAAGAACGGTCGTTTTGAAAAAGCAAACTACTTGAGAGGTAAAAGGATAGACAAAGTGAAAGACAGTACAAAATAGGAAAGAATGTCTTGACCAAGATTATACACCTTACACAGCACGGGCCAGGTTCTCCCCACTCTCATAAAGCGGATTCTCGAATGTTTTCTTTTCTTTTCCACTAACGTACAACAAATTGTCAGACTGCAGTTTCTGAAATCAAAAGAAAAAAGCCAAATCAAATCTTACTACTTAAGATATTAAAATTATTCTGCACAAAATCGAGGCTAACTCGAATGGAACTCGAGAGAACACGAAACTGGAGTATTTTGTTGCTGCAAAAGTTTTATGAGACATTGCTACGCCACCATTGATTCCCTCAAAAACTCACATGCGATTCCGTGTGCCCCCGAGAGCCCAGTTGTGTGGCCAGTAGGCGCAGGTGATTACGTGACCAGTTGGCGCAGGTGATAACGTGACTAGTTGGTCATAGTAATGTCATACCTGATAGTCGCCGTGTGTGTCGTGATGTGTGTCTTTAGGGCTATCAGTATGCATCTCTTGCATCTCTATTCTACTTTGGCTTTCCTCTATCAACTGTAGTGAATGACTACGCATCCTTAAGAAAAACAAATAATGAGATGTTACTGGTAACTGCTTTTAATCTAGAATCCCCTTGTTGTTTGGTTTCATAATATCATTGAACCTAGTGACAGATGATACTGTCATAGCTAAAAAAATAAATTTCATATCATTGAACTTGTTTCTTCAGTCATTAATGATTTTAATAACCGGGCTTTCGGGTCCATGGCCCATTATATCAGGTCAGAATGAAGCAATCAAAAAAACGTTTTTCTGATTGCTTCATTTTTCAAATTTCAAGGGCTTGTTTCGGTTATTTTTGAAATGGCATTGCAAGCATTTCCAACTTGCTGCAAACAATCTTCGATACCTTTCCTCGGTCCCAGTTCCATACCGACGACGCCTAGGTTCTGCAGATCTGTGAACAACACACCGTTTACGTCATTCTTGTGAATTTTACGTCTGACGTCAGTCCTGAATTTAACCACTTGAAGGACAATATTATAATGGAAAACTAAAGGGATGAGGGAGCCTGGTGTAGGGGTTATTGTTGGCCTCTAATTACATATCAAAAATTGAGTGTCGTATTTCCCTGTGTCTGTTGTCTGCGAGGCAGACCCACGAGTTAGCATCGTCCCCGTATCCTTCCTCGATTTTACAAAGTTTTTCTTTTTTTACTTGTCTTTTTTTTGTTTTCTTTTCTTCTTCAAAAATGTTCATGTCGAGTTCGTTATAAAACGACAGCTTTTTGTTTGGTGCTTTTCCGCACAATCCAAATATGAAATTGATCATACCATATATGGAGTGAGCTTTTCTCTACACCAACTTCGACACTAACATACAGTAAAGCTTGATATTTGTTCATTTAGCTGATTTGTGCAATATTTCATAACAGAACTGGCACCAAGGACATGTACTTGGTACAAAAAAACCTTCAAATTTTATCGATAGCCTGAAACCTTCGAGCTGATCATCGTCAGGGCAAGGCTTGGCTTTAGATCGAATCACAACATGATGTTAGTTTTGTGTAGGGAGGAAAGCCAAAAAACCTAGAGAAAAATCCTCGAGTCAAAGGAGAGACCTAACAAACTCTACTCAGATATAATGCAGGCGGTTTCTACAGTAATTTCAACCAACAAAGCTACCTCTTGTAGTTCCACGACATTTCTCCAACATGGTGGCTTTGAAAACCTGCTATAATCATCATCTTATGCCCTTATCGCGTTTTAATTGCTCTATTTCACTATGACGTCACTGCTTGTTTATGTGGGGGATAGAATCGCCAAATCCAATAGAAAATTCAACAAAATTTGCTCCTAGCGAAACAGTTTAATCTAAAATGGCCTGGTTTTCAGATATGTGTTGTAATATAATATGTGTTAATACATATGTACTAAAAAATATTCTGAGCGTTTGCTGGCTATTCTACTTCTCTTCGTGGATTGATACGGGTTTTAGAACAATTTTCGGTGAATCTGCGTTGATCTGAACCCCTCCGAAGACCATGATCCTTTGCGTTTAAACAATAGATTGTTTTGATGTGACGTCATAGTGAAATAGGGCAGTTCCACTAGTACTCCTTAAAATCTTTGTGTAACTCCTTTTGGTAGCCCAATAGAGGCTTTGCACTATCACGTGATGGCCGCCATGACAAAAGGCACAACAATAGAGTCGTTCTCCCCTGGGAAACTGAATTCTTTTTCATGTAAATCACATGCCATCACTGCCTCCTGTCATGGCTGCCATCACGTGGTAGAAAATGGTACAAAGTCTCTATAAACTTTTTATTTTGTGCGTAATTTCCCCCATTTCAGACCATGTGCCATTCTTTTGAGAATAAAATTTTTTGTTTGAGTTGTCTTCAATTGCACGTGTTTTCTTATGTGCAACCGCCAAAACAAAGAAATAGTACTCTAGGGAACGACACGTGGCCTGAAATGGAAAAAATTACGCCCAAGCTAGAAGTCTAAAGAGGATTTCAGAGAGTAGAGGTTCATGTCAAGATGTAATAGGGGCAAAAAGGAATCCCGTACCTCTTTCTTCTGCATATAACCACTACGATCACCAGTAATAACAAGAATAGCAGGCCAATACCCAGACCCAGTGGTAGACCAAGAGACTTTGAATCATCTAAAAGAGAAAGAAGATCAGAAGAAGTTACACAGTTTGGTACATCAACAGAGTAAGGAGGGGCAGGTTTACACTTTCTTATTACCTGGCACAGGTTTTGTACAGCTGAATAATAATGAAATTCCAGAACTTTTCCAGGAAATTCGCAGGGTATGAATAAAAAAATTTCAAGTCCCTGTACTTGGAAATGAACTATTAACAAATGTATACTGGAGACCTTATTGTGGTAATTCAATTCAGTTTGTTAGAAAATATGCTAAGCAGATGCTTTCTTAAAATGCGTAAATTGATTTTGTAACAAAAAAGTCGAGCCTCTACTCATCCATCACAAGCCATTCCCAGGGTAAATTTTCAAGGACTTGGTGAAAAAATATGGAGTTTCAAGAAGTTTCCCAGGACCCTTGAAAAAAATGCAACCTTCCACAGATTTAGAACGAAGGCTGTTTACAGATTCCTCCATCCCAATCAGTAATTTATTGATGGAGAAGGAGGGGGAGGAGAGTTCATTCCATACCTTTTCCAGCACTAGAACGGCTGGCCCGTCCTGAATGCAATGTTTTGATGATAGTGAAGTCAGAAGAACCTGTAATAAGACAAAACATTTGCGCTTACTTCAGTGACGATTTTGGCGATTATTTCCAGTTTGCATCATTAGAATACATCCACGCAAGAAGGCAACAATATTTTCTATGTTTTCTCAGTCCATTAATGCCATGTCCATTAATGCGATGTCCAATAATTCATGTCTACGGAACGTGCCCCATTTGTGTTTAAGGCTCTGGCATCGCTTCATATTTAAAAAACTCCTTTCAAGAAAATATATTTCTCAAAATCTTTATCATCTGAGCTTTGAAATATATACATAGTTTTGTTGAATATGTTGCGCAGAGAGCGTCTTAAACGAAATATACCCCTGAAGGTCATAGTATTACACCTTATACTTTATGAAAGCGGTATTACAGCAACTAAGTGCACGGCACAGTTTATCCAACTCGAAAAGCTGATTAAATGTTCGGACAATTTGTTATTAAACTTTGCTCGGATAATAATTCAAAACGTTTTTCCTTGTTAATAAATTCATCGTAATCCCATATGGTCTAGCGGTTAGGATTCCTGGCTTTCACCCAGGCGGCCCGGGTTCGACTCCCGGTATGGGAAAACAAAATATTTTATTTCTTTGTAAAAAAAAAAAAAAAAAAAAAAAAAAGAGAAAAAAGAAAACAGGATAACTTTTTACCTAATGGAGAAAAAAAGCCGCTTTTAGAGAAAAGATAGCTATATTGCTTATCTTATTATTATTTTTTAATTATTTTTTTCGTTTTTTCGTTCGAGCGGTTTTTTCTCCGCTGCTAAGTATTATAGGTATGGGGTATGGTATTATAAGTATGGGGTATGGTATTATAGGTATGGGGTATGGTATTATAGGTATGGGGTATTATATTATAGGTATGGGGTATGGTATTATAGGTATGGGGTATGGTATTATAGTATGGGGTATGGTATTATAGGTATGGGGTATTGGAAGTAGAAAATACATCTATTCCAAAAAAGGTTCGTGAAGTTTTGGTTGCATGTTTCATGTACCATACTAAGTCCAAAATGTACTATGGTCGATGTGAATCCAATCAGCAAAAGGTCGCAAAGATATAATTTTCCAAACTTTATCTTCATGTTTTCCCGGCATATTTTCTTGCGTTCTAACATTATTGACGTATGAATATATTATTTCGAAAGTTCGAAAAACAACATGCAACATGCATCAAAACCGCCACCAAACTCATAATTCAGTCATATGAAATTAGCCTCTAATATTGAAGCGATAACAGCCTGAACGTCGAGTCGAGTCTAAATCACAGATAGAATTGAAATTAGCTATTAAAAAAAACAACCACGCCCTATTTCTATTGTTTGATGTCGGGTTTGAATTTTCGTTGGAATGAGCTGTCCCGGGTTTTGAATTCAGCATTGATATTAACATGGGAGGGCTTGGTTAATAGGGCTTGGTTGCTTTTTAAACCAGTTTGAAACGCACGCATAGAAATCCAATGCAAACCCTCGCCCTAGCGTTTTAACCTTTATGTGTAAGTTTAAAAGAGGTTTATACCTGATATTTTATCAGAAACTTGTTCAGCTAGTCGTTGAGCTTCCTCTCCTGTTAGCAGAATGGAAAGAAACGTAAAAATATATATTGCTTAATTGAAATATACATGGCTTTCCTATTGAACCATTGTGATTGGTTGATGTTTATTTCCTTAATTCCCATATACATGGCTTTCCTATTGAACCACTGTGATTGGTTGATGTTTATTTCCTT